AGCAGACTCCTCTCTGAGCAAGAAGCCCGATGCGGGGCTCGATCCCAGGACCTTGAAGTCATGACCTGAGCCGAAAGCAGATGCTTCACCAACTGAGCCACCCAGGCATCCCTATGTGTGTATGTATCTTACAAGGAAAATAAGAAAGCACATACACACACTGATGTGGGTTATGGGAGCAGCAAAGGGTAAGCTGATGCTCTCTTCCCCGGAAGACACCTCTCCTGCTTTCCTGGCCGCACCTACCTCTTCATCCATCCAGTCCTCTCCCCTTTCATCCTAGGCTTGGGAAGGCCTGCTGAGACAATCATGTTCCAGGACTCTCGCAGTACTCGGAATTTGTACATACTTCCCATTTCTATCACATCCGGGAACTGATAATCATATACTCATTTTCTATCATTTGTTAACTGTTTCTCCGTGTTTACATCTGTCTCATGAGAGACAAAATCAGGCAGTGGTTAACGGCGTGGACTGGCGAGTCAGCCCAGCTGGGTTTGACTCCAAGCTCTGTTGCTTACTTATTAGCAGTGCGAACCCCGGGGTGCCCTTGCTAATGGATTTTCTCTGTTTCCCCATCTGTGAAATGGGACCAGGAAGAGTAGCTCTCGCAGGCTTGTTGTGAGCAGACGAGTGAGCACGCATACTGCACTGGCGATGGTCTCATTTAACCAAATTTTAAACTCTTGGAGGTATTATAAGCCACCTATATTCTTTTAGATTTCTTTTGTATCCCCTTCCCATTACTTCCTAGAATAATGTTATTTCAAAGTGCTCAAATATTTGTTGACTAAATAAACGAATGACTCTTATGTTTGAGAAATCTCCAGAGAAGGAAATTGCTGAGTATTTGATTGTCATTTACGTGGCAACCAGCGAGTAAATCTCTCTTTACCAGGTGGCTGATCTCACCTGGCACTTACACCTGTTTTGTTAAGAGGGGAGAATATTTGTCTTAAAATCCGTCTTCTCAAACAGCACAGGAAAGCCTTTCTTTTCCACTTATGAGCTGGACATCTCATCCTAAACTGTCGTAAGGAAACGAGCCATTTGTGGTAGAAAAACAGTTTCTGAGCCCTGTGATTTACTGGCAGCTCTTGGGGAATACATGACATACACTTAATACAAAAATAAATTGTATTATTGTCTAATGGTGAGATGTCTTCAAACCCTTACACTGTCACGGTCACCTGCCTATTCTTCTGTCTGTATCGCCCAAGCTTATCTAAGGATGGTTTTGTTTCTCTGGAGGTTTAAATGGGTCTGGGGGCTTGTGGGCCATGAGAGCATAAGAAGCAATTGTGAAAATAATGAAAACCCCTGTCCTTCTGATGCCACCCTTTATCTGTCCTCCCGCCTCTCTCCCCCTCTCAGCTGGATCCTTCTCAGCAGCATTTCAGCCTGCTTGGGTCTCTCCCAGATTAAAAGAGAGCAGAACAAAACCGCCCTGCTTAGCCGCTACCCCACTCTCTGTCTTGCTTACAAGTGGATTTGTGGGAAGAGCTGCACGTACTCACCAGCTCCCTTCTCCCACTTCCCACCTGCTCCCCAACTACTCAGCTTGGCTTTTGCCCCATCGGTCTTCAGAAGGGCTCAGCACCCACCCTCTGCCCACTAAACGCAGCCTCTCACTTCTCACTTCACAGGCAGCTCTCTCTGGCTGACCCAGGCCTCGCCGCCACCCCCGCCCCCATTTCCTCCTCCTACCTACCCCCCAGGTAGTTGCCAGGATCAACAAAGAGGGCTAGTAACTTTCCATGCCCTTCTGCTACGTATACAGAGGCACACACATCGTTCATCAGGGTGTGTATTTATGGGTCTTTCTTCTGAAACTGAATTATAGTGCTCACATCATGTTGTGATTTCCTTTTCCTATGTGACATTGTACCCTAGACAGTCTTGAAGTTGGAAAAACGTTTCTAACTCTACACTTTTTTATTTTGGCATATAAATGTATGTAGATCAGACATCACTAAGCGTCAGCACATCAGGTCAAGTCATTATATTTTTAGAAATAAAAGAGAAAAATTGGATTTTGCATGTGGGGGTTTCTTGAGTTTCTAGGGGGGCAGGACCCAGGGCCACAGTCACAATTCACAAGTCACAAATGTTAACTCAACAGAAGGCAAAATGAGCATAACTCCATGTGGCTTCTGGCCACATCCCAGTAGAGACGTTTTATTTTGAGAAGCATTGAGCAGCTCCCTGAAAACACTGGCTCTTTATCTGTGTTTTGGGTTTAAATATTAAATTAAAAAATATTTTACATGGCTAAGCAAAATGACATATGATCAGAGGCTTTGAAAATAATTTTGTTTGGGAGGTGGCGGCCACGCTACAGCAACAGTGCGACTTGCTCCAATGAGCTCTGGAAGTTTCCTTTAGTCTAAGTCTGGGCATCTTTCACTTTCCTTTCTCTTTCCAATTTAAAAAGTCACACCGACCCTTGGTGAAGGCTGGTGAAACACAGACAGCTCGGCTTTCCCCAGGGTGCCCTTGCTAATGCTCTGCAGTGGGGCCGTCAGGGTCAGGGTCACGGGGGAGGCAAAGTCCAGCACCTGTGGACCAGAGTTCAGCACAAAGCGTCAGGTTCTGCCCCAAATGCTGGATCCTTTCCTTACAATCTCCCGACTACATTCCTCCTATAATCGTCTGAAAATTCTAGTTATCACAACAAATACTTTCAAACACTAGCCTCTTAAAATAAAAGTCTGCACAGGATAGCCAAAAGTCCGGACAATTAAAAGATCTCTATAGGAGCACTTGGCGGACATAGTGGAACATGCAACTCTTGATCTCAGTGTTGTGAGTTCGAGTCCCACGCTGGGTGTAGAGATTACGTAAAAATAAAATATTAAAATAAATAAATAAAAGATCTCTATATTCCTTCATTTTTAGTAGACTATAATTGTTTCCATAGGGATATTTCCCAAAGTTGAATTCCCATCATTAACAGAATAGTTGAATCAAATGAATTTTTCTTCTCAATACAAAGGGATCAACAGCAACAAGACAAAACAAAAAATCCAAAGCAAACACAAAACCCCAAGGAGGTAACACAAGAGGAGGGAAAGTAGATTTTGAGGGGAACTTTTGGACATAATGACAAAAACTCACTGGAATTAAATAATTAAGACAGTAACTCAAAATATAATTTAAAACAGTACTGAAGGGCCAGACACAAACCAGGAGTCTTATCACAGCCCTAGGAAGACTGAGTCGGAGAGCTGGGTTCCCTCTGGCAGCTGGCAAACAATGGCCCATAGGCCAAGATGCTTTGGGTTTTTTTTCTAATTTTATTTTATTTAAATTCTTAATTAACATACAGTGTAGTATTAGTTTCAGAATAGAGGTCAGTGACTGATTCATCAGTTGCATGACTCCCAGTGCTCATTAGATCATGTGCCCTCCTTAATGCCTGCTTTTGAAAGGCCAGCAAACTGAGAGTAATTTTTATGTCTTTAAACATTTGAAAACAAATGTTTAGTGAAGCTTAAGAATCAACTGGAATTCAAATTTTAGTGTCCATAAATAAAATTTTCTGGGAACACAGCCGCATTCGTCCATTTGTGTATTGCTGATGGCTACTCTGTGTTACAACTGCAGAGCTGAGTGGTTGGAACAGAGACCCCGGCAGCCTACAAAGCCCAAGGTATTTACTACTTTTCTCTTTACAGAAAAAGCCTGCCAATCCCCGTCCTAAACCAGGTTTTACTGCCAACGACTTTGTGTGACCTGAGGATGGTCCCCTCCCCTCTCTGGGCCTCCCTTCCCAAAGTAAGGGGTGGAAATGGGGTCCAGAGAAGGTGCTGGCCAGGAGCCCCCTGCCAAGGTCCAGAGCTGCACTTGCCGGACAAAGGCGGACTGAGCATGAGCACCAGCTGCTGCCACCTATAGGTCAGGAAGAAAGTGGCAGGCAGGAAGCTGTCTGTGTGAGGGACTGTCCCTGGCAGACCTCCGGGCAGCTGTCCACTTTGGTGGAGAGCTCCTAACTGAACTCTCTTCCCCAGCTGGTGCCACCGATGGACAAAGTCTGGCTTTTGTACACCTTTGGGACCGAGAGACCACAGCTCCGAGGAGAAACCTAGCCTCCATGTTCACTTCAGGACTAATTGAAGGACTACAAGTCAATCATTCCTACAGAGAACTGGAGAGGGTCATGTGCATGTTTTTTCAAGGTCTGAAGGAAAAATAAGGAAAAAGCTTGTCAGCTGGGAAACCTATCTATAGCGCAGGAGTCCCCATTCTCTACACTACTTCACGAGATTCGCCCACGTTGGTTCTGAAGCTTTGCGCTTTAAAACACCAGGCAAGCAGATTTGTCACAGTTGTGGAAACCCATACGAAAACAATGCAATTAAAGGAGTCCAGTGAACCAAGCCTTTGACCCTAGAGGTTCTCACAGTAAGCCTCTGCACCCAGCACTCCCAACCACGGGGAAGACCAGCAGAGGCTCACGTCCCTTCGAGGCACAAGATTCACACTGAAGAACTGTTGTCTTTGAACTTCCCGTGACACCCGAGTGCTGTGGAGCACGGCATCTGTGTGCTGGCTACAGTGAGCCCACCCAAGGGGCAGCCACCTGTGAGCGCTCCCACCTCAAATCCTTGCCTTGGTGGGGTCTAACTGCCATCCCCCAGGGATGTGCCCTGAGCGGGACCTGGCAGGAGGGATGCTCTGACGCTGCTGAGCCTGAAGAGGATCGGAAGCTTTGCCACCAACTGGGAAGGAAGTGTGGGTGAGACTGCTGAGTGATGAGAGGCCACATGGAGAGGCCATGGAGGACACGAGGCCAGCTTGGACACAGAAAGCAGCCCCAGGACATCCTATGTGAGACCAGCAGACACCCACCCAGCCGAGCTCTAGCCAACCCCCAGAACTGCGAGAAATGAGGCAGCAGGGATTGAAATCTCCCTTTCTGGACTAACTCTTCAAGGCAAGGAAGAGACTCAGTAGTTTGGGCCAAGTTTTTTATGTGGTGTCAAGAGCCTCCTACTTACTTCATCATCTTCATCTTCATCATCGTCAGACTCAAGAACACCATCCAGTAGCTCTTCTAAATAAAGAAAAAATAAACGAATGAATAACTGCGAACACAGCAGGAAGCCTTGGCCAAGAGAACCCTCCAGCTGCTGCAGAGACGAGAATGAGGAGGTACCAGAACAATCGGGCAGGTTCCTGGTGCCCACACAGCCACAGACTCAGATCATCCCAGGCAACTTAAATCTCTCTCCCCCTTTGTACCAGTATGCATGGGCAGTGGCATGAGAAAGGTTAAAAGCTAGCATACAAATTCGAGAAGAATTTAGAAGAAAGAAAGTCAACGAGTACTGCTAGGCACCATGCTGGATACTGTCCCTTGTGTTGTTTATTTACTCCTTATAAAGATTTTGTTGACTCTAATCCCCATTCTATAGCACACAGCAAAGACAGGCATAGAGGGGATAAGGGATTTGTTTATGGTCACATTCCCACAAGTGACAGAGTTGGGATTCGACTTGAGTCTATTTCTAAATCCATGATTTGTCCACCGAGGCTGGGAGAGTAGCCATGGCAGGCAGGGTTCCCGAAGGCTCCCATGATTCACTATAGGCTGTAGAAGAGTTTATAAAGGGGATAACAGCACACTGAAATCAGAGAAAGAATAAGCCTCTGTTTCTTCATCAGTGAAATAGGTATCAGGCTATCTACTTCCCAGGGTGGGTGGGGGAATTTTATAACTACACACCACCTGGCCCAGGGACTATACCACCTGGCCCAAGGCCACGTACACAGCGGGTATTACATAGACATTTGGTTACCTTCTCTTCCACGAAGACTTCCCTGATCCCTCAATGAGCAGTCACTTCTCTCTCTGCTGCTGAACACACTCAGCATTTTCTCTAGATAGCACTGTACTAGTGTAGTATTAGACAGTACTGTAGATAGTAATACTAGACAGCACTGTGGTAGACAGTAGTAGCACACAGCACTGTGGTAGACAGTAGTAGCAGACAGTACTATGGTAGATGGTAGTACTAGATGGTACTATAGTAGATAGTACTAGACAGCACTGTGGTAGATGGCAGTACTAGATGGCACTGTGGTAGACAGAAGTACTAGATGGTACTGTGGTAGACAGTAGTACTAGATGATACTATAGTAGATAGTACTAGACAGTACTGTGGTAGATAGCAGTACTAGATGGCACTGTGGTAGACAGAAGTACCAGATGGTACTGTAGTACATAGTACTAGACAGCACAGTACTGTGGTAAATGGTAGTACTAGATGGTACTGTGGTAGATAGTACTAGACAGCACAGTACTGTGGTAGATTGTAGTACTAGATGGTACTGTGGTAGATAGTACTAGACAGCACTGTGGTAGACAGCAGTATTAGATAGTACTGTAGTGGATAGTAGAACTAGACAGCACTGTGGTAAATAGTAGTAGTAGACAGCACTGTGGTAGACAGTGTAGTAGACAGTACTGTGGTCAACAGTAGTATTAGTACTATGGTAGACTATAGGACTAGATGGTACTACAGTAGATAGTACTAGACAGCACTGTGGTAGATAGCAGTATTAGATGGCACTGTGGTAGATAGTGTTACCAGACAGCACTATAATAGATAGTAGTACTAGATGGTACTAGAGTAGATGGTACTAGACAGTACTGTGGTAGACAGTAGTAGCAGACAATACTGTGGTAGATAGTACTAAAAGCACTGTGGTAGACAGCAGTATTAGCACTGTGGTAGACAGTAGTAGTAGACAGTATTGTGGTAGATGGTAGTACTAGATGGTACTGTGGTAGATAGTACTAGACAGCACAGTACTGTGGTAGATGGAAGTACTAGATGTTACTGTGGCAGACAGTACTCTGATAGTGCTTGCCACTTTGGGCTGATCAGTGTTTCCTAATGTATGAACGGCCTATGGACTGTCTGGGAATTTTGAGTCCTTGGGGAACAAAGCACTGGGCTTACTCCTTCCTTTATTCCTTATGGATCTCCGGATCTCCCTTATGATCACTCACTTACTGAATAGATGATGTGAAAGTAACGAAAGCCTGAGAGAAGAGGCTGGGAAGTCAAATAGGAAGTTGGAGGAAAGAGGAGGTAAAGGCGATTCTTGAAGAGATCGCTCAGTATACTACGAAGGTGGCAGATTCACCCAGGCTGCACCCCCAAACCATTTCACAGGAGGGAATATGTAACACCCTATCGTCCTCAACATGACCATCATTCTGAAGGGAAGGGCTCCACTGATATGGCTGGACCAAGGACGGCAGCATGCAGGCTCCTGTTCCTACCTCAGAGAGGCCCGCACACCTCCCTGCCCATCACGGGCCCACCGTGGTCAAGGAAAGCCCTTCGCAGATGGGGGAGTCACGTCCTCCTGCGATGGAGCCAATGCTGGGTCACTAACTTCCTTTCCTGCCCTGCAAGGAGCACGACTCTGCCCCGCTGTGGTCAACACCTATCAGGCAAGTGCCTTTCAAAATGGGCTCGCGGCTTATTCATCAGTTACAAACCTTTGCAAATACAGAAATGCCCTCCCCCACTTTTTTTTTTAAGATTTTTATTTATTTATTTGACAGAGAGAGATCACAAGTAGGCAGAGAGGCAGGCAGAGAGAGAGGAGGAGGCAGGCTCCCCACTGAGCAGACAGCCTGATGCGGAGCTCGATTCCAGGACCCTGGGATCATTACCTGAGCAGAAGGCAGAGGCTTTAACCCACTGAGCCACCCAGGCGCCCCCTCTCCCACATTTTTAAAGAGAATCTTTGACATTTTGTGAGGCCACAGGCTGGTCTGGCCACACCCGCTCCCCCGAGCCCGTTGGCTCTGGGGCAACATCTTCCCAGAACAATCCAGTCCCGAGAACTGAAGAACCTTATAAACCTCAGCTCTTCTCTCGGGCACAATGGGGGCACCAGCCCAGTCTCTCGCATTGCTCACCTTCCACACTGCTCGCCGGGCTCCGGCACAACCCAGCCGCCCCCACTCCAGGAATGAAGAGGTGTGGCGGGGGAGCTGCTAGTCTCCTCACGGGGGGGCCCGGTTGGTGAAGCTGACTCTGCCCTGGCCCCTGTCCTCTCTTCAATGACTGGCTTGTCCCTGCCAGACCCCCTCGTGGAGGGCTGGTATTCGGGACAAACCTCCCTGCTGTCGCTGCTGGCGGTCATCTCTTCTTGTCAGGTCAGCTTTCCCGTAAGCTTCCCCAGAGCAGTCCTTCCCCACCTGTGGGGTGAGGTTCCTACAATATACTAAAAGTTTTGTATTTGGAAACCTTAAAACTTTATAAGACAATAGTGCTAGAGAACTGAGATGGGCTTGAATGTCTGAAAACCCACTTACATGTTTTAAGAGGATACTAAGCTAAGAGAGTCAAAAAATAAAGATTGTGGCAATGCCATTTCACATATCTTAAACTAGTATGCTGTTAATTCATACTTTCCTGTTGCTGTCCACTTGAGGGTGAAGCCTGGACTAGGTGGGAACTCCAGCCTGGCCCTCTCCGGCTTTCCTCACCATGCTGGTACATTCGTCCAGTCTGACTCCTTGCTCATGACACATAGCCCAAGGTATGTGAGTGTGTGTCTGCTCCTCCATCCGAATGTTCAGTGACTTTCTAATTTCGTTTCAAAGTAGCAGACTCCCTAGGTAATCGTTTCTGGGGACTGGCTACTGTCCCATGAATACAGAATAACTCAAGTGCTTGAGATCAAAAGAGAAGTACTTTTGACACTCTTTATTTAAACTGGAACTTACTGAGAGAGCAGGTGTATCTCAGGCCTTTCCTGGACACCCAAGTCTATAAAGCTTGAGCTCTCCCCGTGGTAACTTCTTGGCAAAGCACAGCTCTCATGGAAGTGCCAACTGACCCTCCCTCTTCACATTCGTCAGCATGCTGGCTCAAGGGCTGGATTTACGTAAGAGAAAGAGACGGTTTTGGCCAGAGAGCAAGGGGGACCTCCCCTGTGTCTGGGCTGCCAGGAAGGAGGGAAGACTGACAAAGAAATGGAGGTGGCTGTGTCTTGACATACTGAAACACAGAGTCAGCCCTGAAGAAGATTTGCAGCCCAGATATGACCCTGAGGCTGCAGAGGAACCCTGGCCTGGGACGGCGGTCTCAGCATGGCTGATGAGCACAGAGCAGAAATGGACCAATGTTCCCTGCCTTACCCCGCTTTCCAAACTGTTGCCTACCCAAAGGAGGTTAGGGAGCAAGCTCAGCCCCGACCGAGGTTCAGGTTTTCTTTAGTGTTATTTTGTAAATATGCCTGCCCGGCAGAACTGGGGCTCGAAGTCAGAAATGAAGCTGCTGCAGGGGTGCCTGGGTGGCTCAGATGGTTAAGTTAAGCATCTGACTCTTGACTTCGCCTCAGGTCATCATCTCAGGGTCCTGGGATCGAGCCCTGTGCCAGGCTTGGGGCTCAGCAGTGAGTCTGCTGAAGGATTCTCTCTCTCCCACTCCTTCTGCCCCTCCCTCCACTCGTGCAAGCATGCTCTCTCTCTCGCAAATAAATAAAACTTAAAAAAAAAAAAACTTTATTTTCTGTTGCAGAAAATAAAGTTCTATTCCTTGCTCACCTGAATTTGGGATGAATCACATTTGCTCTGTAAGAGCCACGGGAGAGGATGTTCAAATGGAGACGGGCCCTAGCCTGAAGGGAGCCAAGGTTTCACACCTCACTGGCGGCTCTCCCAGCTGCTTCCTGTTGATTGGGAGCCTCTAAGGTCTTCTTCCTGTCAGGCTAGGTGTCAGGGGTCCCCAGAAAGAGCTTCCCCTCCATCCTGGTCCCATCCAAGCCTTCCTGCACCTTCCTTTCCTGCTTACTATGGGATGTAGGTTGTCATGGCATTGGAGGAAGCCAGAGAGAAAGAGGATCATATCCTCACATGGAGCCAGTAGGCAATATACATTTTTCTTCAAAGAATGAATGCATGCAGGAGAATGACCTTTTCTGCAGCAGAGCTAGGGAGACTGACGTTTGTTTTCCTTATCAGACACTGGGACCCCAGGGAAGCCTTATAAGGTGGGGGAAGAATAAAGGCGGATGTGCACATAAAGAGAACATAAGGTTAGAGCAGGGTGTTTGTGATTGCTTTTGAATTCTTTCTGTTGCTTACAAGCCTGAAGTGTGATGAGAGATCGCTGGTCTTGGGACAGACTGGCCTTGACTATCTGGTTGAACTTTCATTGGTGGGTTCGCTTGGGTCTCCTCGGCTCCCTTAAAGCTTCATGAATGAATTCCAGGACACTAGCCTTCTAAGAAAGCCCATGCAACTTTTTAGCCCATGTGAAAGTTGCAAAAGATAAATCACAGATTCTTGCATTGAACAGACCTGAATTAAGCTGCTTGATGATGAATTCAATCTGGCGCACCATTTCAGCATTGCTTTCCTTGATGAAGCAGCGAAGGATGTCCTCCATTCCCTATGGGCATTGGAGAGAGTAAGAGTTAATATTTCAGGGTTATTTTTTTTTTTTAATGGGGTGAAAGTAGTTTTCAATGGAAGAGTTTCACCTAATCAAAACCAAACCAAACCAAACCAAAAACCTTTATTTGGGGGAGGGGGAGGAATAGACACAATAAAAATTCCTCTGTTCAGTATTAACATTCTTTTTGTTCTTTTTACAATTCACAGTGGAATTATTTTCCTCTTGTTGACTATCCAACCTAATTATAAAACATATGGCCAACAGAAAAGCCTATTGTGCAGAGAATTGAGGGCTGTCAGGAGGAGGTGGGTAGAGGGAAGGGTGAAATAGGTGAAGGGGATTAAGAGGTACGGACTTCCAGTTAGAGAATAAGGAAATAGTCATGAAGATTAGGGAAAAAAAAAAAAGTACAATATAGTCAATAATGCTATAATGACGTTGTAGGGTGACAGATGGTGGCTGTCCTTATCTTGATGAGTGCTGGGTAACATACAGACTTGCTGAATCACTATATTGTAAACCTGAAACAAATATTACACTATATGTCAACTACACTCTGATAATAAGTGGAAAAAAAAAACCTGTAAAATTTTACTGTATAAGTAAGTATTCCCTTCAGTTTGGGCACTATGTTGTTTTGGGAGGTGGTTCCTTTCTTGCGATTTCTTTATACTCTTCCTTCTGGATTTTAGGGACAAAATCAAGAGTAAAACTCTATGTGTAGAGAAGTAGATGAATAAGCAGAATCTTTTTAAACAGCTATCGTTCTTTTTTCTATCAAAATAATTACAAAGTCACCATAATGTACATTATTTATTATAAAATGCTTAAGTCAGAATTTTCAATGTTGACTAAGAGAATTGCACAGAAGTGTAGAGGTAAGTCACTGACTTGAGCACAGGTGTCTGGCCCCCCTCCTTCTTCTTTCCTTGAGGGATGTGAAGGAGGTTTTGTGGCTGGAGCTGGTGTGGCTTCTTGCCACTACAAGGGGAACGTGTATCTCATAATGACCCCAGAACACAGGAAGCAGAGAGAAACGGGTCTACTAACACGTGAACTCTGATCAAGCTCTGCCTGAAGCTGATGCCTGCACTTCTTGGTGATGAGCCACTATTTCCCTCCTTTAGTGTAGGCCTGTTTGGAATCAATAGCTCTAACTGAATCAAAGAAGGGCCAAGTGCAGTTTTGAACCCGGAGAATTCCCATTGTCTAGAGCAGAGCATTACCTTCTAGAAGGTTAAGGTTAAGATAGAAGGTATCCGAGCTCCCTCATGAACTAACTGTGTGATCTTGGTCAAATTGCTTAGTTCTGCTCAGCCCTCAACTATAGTTCTCAACTATAAAATAAGGATGGCAACTCTAGTTAATGTGACATTTTTAAAAAACAAAGAATGTAGGGGTGCCTGGGTGGCTCAGTGGGTTAAGCCTCTGCCTTCAGCTGAGGTCATGATCTCAGGGTCCTGGGATCAAGCTCCACATCAGGCTCTCTGCTTGGAGGGGAGCCTGCTTCTCCCTCTCTCTCTGCCTGCCTCTCTGCCTATTTGTGATCTCTCTCTGTCAAATAAATAAATAAAATCTTAAAAAAAAAAGAATGCAAATTGGGCATCAGTTATACAGGTGTATGTTTGTCTAATGCACTGACCTCTGTATGGAAGGCCTATGCGTTTCACTGTTCATGAGTTATACCTAAAAAAACAGCCTCTAGTCCAGCGGCTGGCATACAATAGATGCTCAATAAATGGTTAAGATTGTGCTTGCTGTGTTTGGAAGGGTTTTGTGGCTCGGAAGAGAGATCCGGTAGCTGAAGCCAAGGGAATAAACAAGGTTGCAGGTGACAAAGAGGGAGAGGCTTAGGACAGCATCATCTTTGAGAAAGTAACACTGAACTGGTGGGCAGAGATAGGTAAGCACACAGAGGAGACCCAAAGGAGTGGTCTGGAAGGGATGAACAACTCTGGATAGACCTTGGATTGAGGAAGAGGGTGCCAAGAGGGCAGCACTCTGCTCCAGCCCAGGGCAGAATGTTTGGCTGGGGTCTAAACCCCACAGAAGAGCTTCATGGCTGACAACTGCTCCAGCCCTGGATACAAGAGGCTCTGGGGTAGGCACGAGGGCAGCCCTACTGATTTAAACCGCTCTCCTGCCCCAGATCTTGGCAGTCTCTTCAAGTTCAAATGGCGCTCAGTGTACCCATTTACCGTTTTCTCCACTTTGGGGGGTATTATTTTGAGACCACCATAATAGCATTTGGTACCGATATAATTTTTAGGTATTCTTGGTCACTTTCCACCAGCACACAAATGTTTTACACAGTTGCAAAAACAGAGTTCTTAATAACGTCATATTCTCCTCTTGTCTCCTCTCCTGGGACTCCAGTTACATAAGTGTGAGACCTCTGGGTATCGTCTCCCAGGTCTCTGAGGCACTGTCCCTTTCCTTCACTTTTTTTCTCTGTGGTCTGGATGATCTCTAAGGGTCACGCTCTCACATCCTACAACCTTGAGTCTCTCCTCCCCACGCGGTCCCTGTCCGTTTACTGCCGTTCCTTCCTGCCTTCTCCGCCTCTCGCCCCAGATGTCCTTCCTCCATGCTGCCTTTCGTGCTGCTTGATCCATATCACCTCTGTTCCTTCTTTTGCTTCAGCCTACATGTCTTCTTCCTTGTTTCTGACTTTGTTGACAATTCCTGTCACTGGAATGACCACAATGCAGAACTTATTCAAGTTTATTTTCCCCGTTCTGTATTGAGATAGCAGATTTTATTTATTTATTTTTTTAAAGCAATAGGCAATGAAGTTCCATTGTTTACTGTGACCACAGAATTGTTCTTATTTAAGTTTTTCTCTCTGGCATAACTGCAGATGTGATTTTAGATGACTAATTAGGAGATTTAGCAATTCTTCTGAGTAAGTGAAATCAAGTGGAGGAACAGGTTTCATTGGTCTCCAACTGAATTTGGCCTGTGTTTTGACTGTGGAAACACATTTAATCTCTTCAGCACAGCATTTAACCTGTTAACCTGGTTTCACATTACCGGGAAAAGGACAAAACTCCAGTGCTTTTGCTGATTAGATCTAGAAACACTTGTCATCACCAAAGATGCTAACTGCCTGAAGCTTGTTTTATGCTTCCGATATAAACACTAATTGTAAACACAATAAACACTGAATTCACTATTTGCCAACCAAAGTAGATGTTCTATCATCTTTAGTAGGGTTTCTGTCCCCTTCGGCAGCTGTCAGAGCGCCTAAGGTTAAGTGTCTGGCCAGCACCTGTTCTCACTGCTGCCCCAGGCCCTCCAGGAACCCTGGGGATGCATTTCAGTGGGGATTTACTCCATTTTACTGTTTTCTTGCTAGGCTTCTCCTACTATAAAATCCATAGGCTTCCCCAAAGCCCCAAATTAAAATGAACCATTAAAAATGTCTGTAACTTTCCAAAATAAGCCTGTTGGGAACTTTTTAACACTGTAGTTTTTTTGTTGTTGTTGCCAGAGAGAGAGAGAGTGAGCGAACGAGCAAGAGCAAGGGCAGGGGCAGAGGGAGAGACAGACTCTTACTCAAGCTCCACACCCAGTGCAGGGAGCCCTGTGTGGACTCACAAGCGAGATCATGACCTGAGCTGATCAAAAGTCAGACACTCGACCGACTGAGCCATCCCAGCGCCCCCTAACACTGTAGTTCTTTTTTCTTTTTTTTAAATTTGAGAGAGAGTGAGAGAGAGCATGAGAAGGGGGAGAGTCAGAGGAGTGGAGAGCCTGATGTAGGGCTCTATCCTGGGACTCTGGGATCATGACCTGAGCAGAAGGCAGACGCTTAACTGACTGAGCCACCCAGCTGCCCCTCTAACACCGGAGTTCTTACAATTTAGGAGTTAGGGATCCTTTAAGATCTGAAAAAAGCTACAGATTCTCTCCCCTAGAAAACTGCAAATGTGTATCTGGCGTACAGTTTCGGGGAGTTCACAAAACTGTGCGAGCCACGCAGCCCAAGCGGCCCAGAGCCAGGTCTAGGAGCTCCCTGTTCTAACGGCTTCTGAACTGCGCCACTCACTGAAGCTTACAAACTGCTCAAGCCCTTATTCTTACCATTGCTCTTGCTTCCTCACGAATGGATGGAATAGAAAGTATGCTGTACAGAGCTCCGTTCACATACGGCTGTATCTTTAAGGGGAGAAAAAACAGTCATTTGCAAGTTCTCAAATTCTGTACAACTCCGTGATCAAACACCCCACTCAAGAATCATTTGGCTAATGAGGAGAGTGAGCCTTCCTATCTTCCTGAGCTCCAGGATGCATGTTTCCAAATGACCGGTATCTCCATCTGCATGTCCCAATGACAGCTACAAATAAGAGTTCAAAGTCAAGTTCATTACTGGCTCTCAAAGCTCACTCTTGTTATTTCACCACTTAACTAACATCATGCTGATCACTCAGGCTTCTACCACTGCTGGAGTCATTATCGATTGCTCTCGCCTTTGCTTTCCAGGGTTCAGTCTCCAAGCTGCCTCTGATAGGAACCCTTCTTTCCCACACACAGTGCCACTGTCCTTGCTCAGACATCGTCTGTGACCTAGGTGACACTGAATCTCCAAAAGGGCTTCTCTCTTTGATGTTCACACTGTAGTCCAACAATCATATCATTGCCAAAATTCTACAACATGGGCCAAATCATCCCTCTTCCTACACCTCAGAAACCTTCCCTAGAGCCTACCTGGAAAGTCCTAACTTCTTAGTACAGCACACAGGCCCCTTCAAGGTCTGGCCTCAATATCATGTCCCCCTGCCCTTCCCTTCCTGCCACCATAAGGTTTACACTGTACAGACTGATCTCACCCTACTTAGAGGGCTCTCCACCACACCATACACCCTGCTCTGCCTCCTGTATATCCCTCCGCTGTCATACTGGATTCAGTCTATGTTTGCATTTATACTTATGTCTCCCCATGTTTTCCTCATATAGGTAACCCCAACATCAAGCCGTACAGGACACAGAACATGGCAGGTGCTGGATAAATGAGAGCTCCCCTTTGAATAGATTTTGTGTGACACTCTCCACATTAATGGAGGAGGGCCCATTCCCACCATTCTTTTCCAGCACTGGACTTTATTTGCCAATCTAATGGGTAAAGAGAAAAAAGGCATCTTATGGTTGTTCTTACTTTTATTTTCCTGACTATTAGCAAAACTAAACATCTTGCCTTTGTCTATAGGTCCTCAAGATTTACTGTTCTGTGAACAGCCCATGTGTGTACTCTATCCTTTTCTTATGTCTTTTACTTATCAATTTATAGGAGCTCTTCATATATAATGGATATTAAACTTTTATCCTATGTGCAAATATTTCCTCAGGCTATATCACTTGTCCATTGACTCTTACTATGGCCTCTTTTTCCATATAAAAAAAATTTAATGTTCACTGAGTCAAATATGTGCATCTTTTTCTTTATGGCTCCTGGCTTTCGTCTTTCATGATCATGACTCTCACACAAGACGCACGTATGTAGCATTTATTTGTGAAGCGAACACATTTCTAGGCTCTAACATGTATACAGGTAGATTTTCTAGCTCATCTTCAAAGCAGATATATTTGTAACAATTATGACAAGATTTAAATCCTCCGGTCTATTCTGTCCTCAGAGGTAACATACCGGTTCCAACACTTAAAACCAACATTACTATTAGAGACTGAATATATTTCCTATGTATAGGCTCCAATTGCTTTAGTTGAATAAAATGGGAAACAGAGTCTAGAAGTAGTTAAGAGTTCTTGATTTAAAAAATATAAAAAGCATGGCACACACCATAATAACCACCAACCCTTCACTTGCTGAAGCCACCCAGGTCACCGAGCTGGTGGGCCTAGGGGATGGAAGATATGAGAGAGACGAACAGAACGGGAGCTGTCTGCAGCTAAGTGCCTCACTCTGACCCAGCGGCCCTCAGTCCTGTCCCACTAAGACACCGTTGCACCTGATCTGGCTAAAGAGGTCAGGCTTCTGTTGAGGCTTTGGCTTCACGTGCAAAGTGATGCCACGGTTTCTGCACAGGCATCTGGAGAGAGCCGGTGACAGCATACTCACACCATTTCGAAGTTTCTGTTAATTAGTTTATCAAGACCTCTACTTTATTTTAAAAGGGCTTGTGGCCCACAGGCTAGACAACAGAAAATCCCACCATGCTGGAGAGGACATGGGGGAAAGCAGAAGCCGGTACAGTCATTGTGCGGGACAGAGTGGCGGGACCCCCAACCCGACACTGACACTCGGGGCAAGCCAGCGGTGACGCACATGTCTGCACCCCAGGGGCCCTTGGGGGGCCAGCACGGTGATGTCACTGAGGACCGCTATGGCGGCTGAGGGCGGGAGTCAGCTGGACAAGCCTGGGGGACTTGCGGGGAGGGCCGTGAACAGGGGCTGTTTCTGCAGCGGCGAGATTAAGGAATGAGATGTATACAAGGCAACACAGGAAATTTCTAAAAACACAGTGAAAAGGTAAGAAAAGAATGAGATCTAGAGCGCAGTACTATTGACACAATGACACATGCAACACACAACAGTAACTAAATTTGCAGGCCACGCGCCACTGCAGGGAGTGTCAACGTGGGGGAAGAATAAAGCAGGGTAGGTGACAAGGAGGAGAATAAGGCCTGGGAGGGAGCTGGCACAGACCAGTGACAGCAGGGCAATAGGAAATGGGGGTCAGGGATCAACCTCCATCTTCCCAGTTCCAGAATCTGGAAGAGGGGGTGCACTGACTAGCAGGGCCAGCCTCCCCCAAGCCCGGGGCTGGCAGCGCTGGCCCAGTACCTCATGGTTCTCATGGCCAAGCAGATCCGAGAGAACTTTCAGCACCAGGCCTGCCACCTTGGCACACATGTTCTTCCCTTAAGAAGAAACAATGAAACAAAACGTGACACGTCTAAATGCGGAAGCACAGTTTCAGGTCAGGCAGACTTGAATTCAAACCTTGGCTCCTCTGCTTATGAACTGTGTGACCCCGGCTGAGTCATTTGGCCAATGTGAGCCCCCGTTTCTTCCTCCTGGGACTCCTCAGGGAAGGCAGGAACTCAGTGTAGGCCATGCATTCCCAGCGCTCAGTCAATGGTGCCTCCGAGAGCCCAGAGCTATTCAGGATGGTCAGTGGAAGCCTGGGCTATCACAGAGCAGTGCCCTGCCGCCCAGGTGCACAGACCACCATTGCAAACACCACACAGGTATTCTAGCCAATTCAAACGTCATAACAACCACTGCAAATAAATCATAAATTGATGATACTAAGAAAAGCTGGTTAGAACCTGGTAAATGTTTCAATGCTAAGATACTTACATATGCTGTTTTCTAAGAGAAGGTTGAAATCACATTTACTCAGTCAACAACACATGAGTGGTTCGGATTACAAAGCAGCCAAAGGCAAAGAAGCTTCTCACAAATACCCCCGAGCTATTTAATCACATAAGCTGCTTCTCCCCAAACTGGGGCTGCCCAGACCAAGGCGAGCCACAGGCTGGACTTGGCACCTCTTTTAAAGAAGCTTCTTCCATCCCAGGTAACCAATCATGTACACGGGACAGAACCTCTAGAAAAGGTCACTCCCTTTATTGAGCAAATGACTAGATGCACACGGGGAAGTGAAGTGGGAGAGCTGGCTGTGGTGAGGAGCAGGGAGCACGGGCTGACATCCTAGCTCTGCCACCAGCTTAGCCCTGTAGAATCTTGGAAACATATTTCTCTGTCCTTGGATACAATGGATCATATCCTTAACTTCCTACCTTTGAATAAGGCAATGAAGATGAAGAAAAATATAAACTAATTTAATTTCCTCTTCATCCAGGCACTGCATACACAGAAAATGTTCTTTTCCAAGGCCAGAATGGTATCTGGCTTCAGGGATTCAACAGCTGTATAACTAGTTGGAAATGTTTTACGCTCTACTTCTGTTTCAGTTTTCTGTGAGGTAGACTGAAGACACACCGCATCAGGCTGGGTGGTCCTCCAGGTTCGAGGGGCAGGCTCTCTGCCCTCCCCTCCCCTCCCCCACACCAAAGCCAGAGGACCCGGGGACAGCGGGTTGTGAGACCTGCACTCCTGAGGCAGAGGTTCATGAGCAAGGCCACCGAGTACTCCAGTGTGTAGTCCGAAAGGCAATCGGGGTCCTTCAGAATATCAATCAGCCAGAAGATGAGGCCGTCTCGAATCATCGCTGTCTGCAGTGGGCGCCTAGGATGTAAAAGCCTACAGGTCAGCTAAAGCCGGCAAGCAGCTTTCCCTGTAAGAGCACACGGTGATGTGCACGCCAGTCGGAAAAGACAAACTGATGGGGCGCCAGGGTGCAGGGGGCTCAGTCCGCTGAGCGTCCGACTCTGGGTTTCGGCTCAGGTCATGGTCTCAGGGTCCTCGGATCGAGCCCCGGCCAGGCTGTGCACTCAGCGGGGTGTCTGCTTGGGATTCTCTCTCCCTCTCCTCCTCCCCCACCCATAAATAAATATATCTTAAGGGAAAAAAAGAGACAAGACAAACTGTGCGGAAGATACCGACTCTAAAGAATATTTTGTTGTTAGACCCACACAACTGAAACAACAAATTCTTTACCTTCTGCAGGTGTTCCTAAGGATTTAGAGAGCAGCTAGGTAGTCAGGAGCTCTTCTACTCCGAAAATTTCTTTTTCAATATTTAAAATTAGCAGAGTAGTATTTCAAATATTTAGTAAATATTTACTGATAGCTTTTGGTCCACTTCACCCAGGAGACAGTCATAGAAAAAGTTCATTGACAAACAGATTTTTAGTAAACTCTAGTCCTGCTTGGCACTTTGAGCTGTGTAAAAACAAAGAAAAGCCAAAACCAGCTCAATCACATCTTGATTCAGGTCTTTGTAAAGCAAGGGTAGTTTAAGGACATGGGCAAAACAATTTATACAGAATTATTTTCCGCCCAAAGTCCGTATGAAATCTAACATCTCATCCAAATGTGTTTGAGGAATGTCTTCCTGCCAGCCTTAAGAACTGATGAGATTGGGGCGCCTTATTTATTTTAAGATTTTAAATCTTGAAAAAAATTATATAAAAATAAATAAAATCTTAAAATAAATAAATAAATAAATAAAATCTTAAAATAAAAACAAACCCAAAAGTATAGCACAGATACTGTCCTGGGTGGGAGTTTTACCATAACCTGTTGATTAGAAGATGTTCGGTGGAGGTTCCTCCATGGTGTTCTTTTGTTTTGTTTTGTTTTTTTAAAGATTTTATTTATTTATTTGACAGAGAGAGAGAGAGAGAGATCACAAGTAGGCAGAAAGGCAGGCAGAGAGAGAGGGGGAAGCAGGCTCACCGCTGAGCAGAGAGCCCGATGTGGGGCTCGATCCCAGGACCCTGAGATCATGACCCGAGCCGAAGGCAGAGGCTTTAACCCACTGGGCCACCCAGGCACCCCATTTTATTTATTTTTTTAACATGAATTCTTTTTTTTTTTTTTTAAGATTTTTATTTATTTATTTGACAGAGAGACACACAGTGAGAAAGGAAACACAAGCAGAGGGAGTGGGAGAGGGAGAAGCAAGCCTCCTGCAGAGCAGGGAGCCCGATGTGGGGCTTGATCCTGGGATCAAGACCTGAGCTGAAGGCAGATGCTTAACGACTGAGCCACCCAGGTGCCCCTAAGATTTTATTTTTTTAAGTAATCTCCACATCCAATGTGGGACCATAACTCACAGCCTGAGATCAGGAGTTCCCATGCCCTACCACACCAAGCCAGCCAGGCTGCCCTTTGTGCTATTCTTAAACATCACACTCACCTCATGAGTGAAATTTGTTGGAATACAAGGAAGGCTACACTCTCTTGGCAATCCTAAATACTTCCTACATTCATTGTACAGACCCTAGAGCGTCGCAAAAACATTAAGCATATTTCTAGAACAGAATAGCTTATTACTGTTTGAAGCACAAGAAAAAACTGGCAATAAATATCTATATTACCAGGAGGAAGTATTATATCTTATCTCTGTTACTATAGTTACTAAATTTCAAATCAATTTTCCACGTCATGCTCAACATCAAGCTAAATTACCTTTAAAAACAAACAAAAACCAAGTGCTCATATGGTCTAAAGAAATAAGAACTCTGGAATTTACTACAGTTCCTTTCAATTCACACGTAGTTTGAACAAGAACTTTTCATCACCAGGGACCTGACAAGTAGTAGGAACTGAATACCTACTGCTTTCTCTCACTAAATGTGCACAAATAAGTCACTTTGCAGGCTTTAGGTTACTAGCGAGAGTCAATCACATGTCAACCACATCTGAGAGGAAGAAAGTATGTCCAGAAGAGGACTGTCAGAAAAAAGCTGAGAACTCAAGGTACTAGAATTCTTACTAAGGCAAAGAGAAAGTGAGGTATTCCTGAGGGAAGCCACATGCTGGAAGAATTCCATACAACTCAGCAACTCCACTCCTAGGCACTGACTGACTCAGGGGAAGGGAAAGGATGCGTCCACACAAAGACTTGTAGGCAAATGTTTGGAACACGATTATGCATGATAGCCAGAGTAGACCCAATCCAGCTGTCCAGCAGCTGATGAACAGATAAACCAAATGTGGTCTCTCCGTGTAACGGTGTGTTCTTCAGCGTCACAAAGGAATAAAGTACTGACACAGGCTACCACACAGACAGACCTCAAGGACATGATGCTGAGTGAAAGAAGCCAGTCACAACGGAACACACATTATATGAGTCCATTTACCTAAAAATGCCCATTACCGGTAACACTACAAAAAGCAAATCAGTGGTTACCTGGGGCTGGGGGGAGGGGACGAAGGCTGGAAATGGGCATGAGGTTTCTTTGTGTGGTGATGCAAATGTTCTAAAATCAGCTTGTGTTGATGGTCGGGCAACTCTGTAAATATACTAAAAATCACTGAACGGTACATTTAAAAGAGGTGAATTTTGTGCTATGAGGGTTCACTTCAGTAAAGCTGTTCATAAAGGAAAAAAACGCTCGAGATGGATAGAGGATGCAAGTCATGACAGGGTCCAGACGGAGACTGCACTGTCGGCTGCTGGGACGTTAGCACAAGGAAGCGGAAGGCTCCCGGCCTGCCTCCCAAAAATGACCCAGTGCGTCGACGTCACTGCTCCTGTACGTGCACCTCCCGCAACGCGCTGTGAGCGACGTGCGGTTTAGCTGTGTCAGGTTCTGCGCATGCGCATATCTCTACCCCATGTGCGTGGCCTGAAACACAATCCAGCCCCTGCCAGCAGCAACTACCACGCACGAGGACAGCGTGATAGCACTTCCCCCTCCGTAGCAGCTTGAGCAGGACGGTTTTGGGAATTCGAGATAAGCTTTCTAACTCCATCTTGGAAAGTAACCCACCATCTCCTAAATGTTAACTGAAAATATCATTTGGAAAATATCATTTGCCTCTTGGGCTGCCACTGGGGCTAAACAGTGGCTCACATGAGCCCTATGTACTTTCACAGGGACCGCCGTGACCCACTGCATGGTCAGCACCTGAGGCTGAACTTCTGCAAGGCCCCGAGAACGTTCTCGCGGGTGACGATGTCCTCATCCTCCTCCTTCAACCTTTCCTCCAGCATCCGCAGCACCTTCGTGTTCTGGGCCAGGTAGAGGCGACCTAACAATATAACCAGAGATGCACGGGTGAGAGAATTTATCTTGTGTTAAGTTCATGCCACGAAACCATTCTCTCTGAATACTTTGCATGTAATGCACATAGAGTTTGGGTAATTTTAGGTTCTAAAAAAAACTTAAAACCTATTTCTTCTGCAAAGTTGGTTTTATCCAACCAACTATCTAATGAAGAGAAAACCACTCTTCTTATAATCGAAACATAATTCATCATGGGGTACCTCGGTGGCTCAGTTGGTTAAGCCTCCAACTCTTGATTTCAACTCAGGCTGTGATCTCAGAGTTGTGATATCGAGCCCTGTGTCGGGCTCCGTGCTCACTGGAGCATCTGCTTCTCTCTCCCCACCCCCAAATATTATATCTCTATTATAATAAATAATTTATTTATTATTAAATAATCTTTAAACATAATTCATCACTATGTTTTTGTGGGGAGCACTGCCAGATCTAGAGGGAGAAAGAAGGTGAGAAATCTATATGTTATGGGCTCCTTAGTCTTTATAATAGAGGCAGCCAAACAGTAATGCTTTCTGGGCACACTCCTGCCTCCTTCTAGATGTACCTATGCCTGGAGAAGGAGTTGGGAACCATACATGGGACCCTATAATAAGCTTTTAGTTATCATTAGCCCCCTGTGGACTTGTGTCTTAACACAGATAATGTTAGTGCATGTACCCTTGTTCATAATAAAGGTCTGCTAAATGGTTGGAAGAACAAGCAAATGAGTGAGTGAACCAACTTTTGGAGCATCATATAGTCATAATTTGAGAACTCCCCTTATTCACATTTAAGAAGCTGAAACAAAGTAGAACTTATGGAAGATAATAATATTTTGTAAAATCATTGTATTATCTTTGGAATTTTCAAATCCTGGTGGTTTAAGAGGTCATCCAGTTTGTTTGTTTGTTTTTATGATTTTATTTTTAAGTAATCTCTACACCCAATGTGGGGCTTGAACCCACAAACCCGAGATCAAGAGTCATACGCTCCACCGACTGAGCCAGCCAGGCACCCCAAGAGGCTGCAGCCTCTTGAAGGAAACGATGTAGTGCTTATTGGGATCAGTTTTGATTAATTAACTAACCTTGTTTTGCCTTCAGCGGAAAATTACAGAAAATGCATTACCTGTTATATACTTGAAAACAATCTAAAAGGTACTGCTACAAAACCAGAAAGCTTGTAAAATAAAACCAGAAGCCTTATAAAATAAACTCCAAGACCATCAAAATTGACTCTGACATAAACTAAACCATACAACAATAACCAATTTGCACAAGGCCCCTTCAGTGCACTGAACAGGAATCTACTGAGGAAACCGAGAGCTCCTTTAAGAAACATTTCAAAGAATGGCCACTTCCAAAGGAACAAAATGCACTGAAATAGGACCTTGGCTGACTCACCTTCTGCCAGGGACGCAAAAGCATTGATGAGCCGGGCCATATACTGTCGCACCACCTCACTCCTAGAGTGCAGCAGCTGCAGCACGCTCCTCTGTGGGCAGAACCATCCAGAGAGGGCAAGGATGAGGTTAAAGAAAACAGAGCTAAATACACGTCTCCTCTATGGGTCTGCTGTTCTCTGCCTTTGCGTGGATTTATTAGAGGTGAAATAAACAGACTAAAGTCAACACTTCATCTGGAAATCTCAATTTCCAATGGATTTTTTTAATGAGGGTTGACAAAAACAAGTTATTCAGACTTCTGAGCCGAGAGACTGAATTACACAGAGTGCTCTGCCCGTGACTGGAGCAAGGGAGGCCATGCTGTTTGCGATGCTTCCCACTCCTGTTTTTCCAGGTTAGTGACAGATCCAATACCCAGATCTAATTTTGCTCCCTTCAAACTCCAGTAGAAGTACAGTGTGTAGATTTAAAAAAAAAAAAAAAGATATAAATTCTGAAGGAGAGAGAGAGTACAAGAGCTGTTAACAACATGCTTTCGGAATCAGGAAGGCCAGGTGGTGATAGACGTAGCAGACCCAAGAATGCCAAGTCTTGAAGGCAGCAACGGGCAATGAGGAATTACCCAACTTACAGCACGTAACCCTCCAAAGGAAAAAAAAATGAAGAAGAATGAATGAAAGCTGTTAAAGCAGCAGCTGGATCCCACTCTTGCCGCTCCTATACCACTGTCCTCCTACAGACTCCCCACCATCCATCCGGGGGGCGTTCCCTTGCGAAGGTAACACAAAAGGTCTCTGGAGGTGTGAGGAGTTAGCTGGACAGGTAGGAAGTCAGGGCCAGGGTCCCCAACAAGAAAATATGGAGTCAGGACAGCTAAGATCGAACAGCAGTGACATCCTGTTTTGCAGCTGAGGCAGAATCACACCTGCATTCTTTTCTGCAGCCTTTGCAGAAATGACTTCTGCAGAATGTCCTAAAATAAGACAATTAACCACAAAGCCTTTGTCAATACCATGGGCAAGGTGGAGTTAAGACCTAAGCCCCCAGATGTCAGAAAAAAAGACGATCAGCAGACACAACCTAACAGGTAGACAGACATGTGAACAGAGCCCTGACTGGCACGACTCAGCATGACCCTGACTGCTGAAGATAGTTTTCAGAAAAGCTGATAAAAACCCCTAAACTTAGAAACTTTAAAGGCAACACTTTTAGGCCCCCCTCGCTCTCCAGGAGCTATGCTCTTGCTCAATCAACTTTGCTTTGCTCTCCACCACTCTTCATCTGGTCTACCTCTTCATTCTTCGAAGTGTGATCAAGAACCACGGGCACTAAAGGGAACAAAAATCCTGTAGCAGAGGCGGACACCTGGCACAGGTGAGCAGGGCTTCTACACCCAAATGGGGTGAAGAGACAGTGTCTAAATGCAGAATGAATGCTAAACAGAGAGCACCCCATCTTCTTCTACCTGGATCCCAGAAGCTTGCACCCAGATCCTCACGCTCTAGGTAGGAGATCAGAGGACTCTTCTTGGAGGAAAATGACCAGCCCAAGAGAAAAGAGCCAGAGATCCTAAAATCAGAGGTTTCTACTAGAGAGACCACTTAGATCACCCTGAGTGGAGCTCTGCGTCCACAAGCCCTGCCCTCAGCCTCAGAATTTCTAATTGGCTTTTATTCCCCCTACTCAAAACATTATGAGAAAACCAAGATCTACCAGAAACCCAAGGCAAGTTTCCAATATGGGAGATAGGGTCAAAACAAATGGTGGGGGCAACTTGAAGAAAATGGGACTGTGTAGGGAGAAGAAAACCAGAGATACACAAAAATGTGTTACTCACAGTAGCCTCAGAGACACAAGAGGCATACCGTATCCATGAAAAAAGATTGCCATAAAAAGGGGGGGTGAAAAACTCGACAGAAGGGTTGGAAAAAAAGGTGAGGAGATCTCCTAGAAAGCAGAGCAAGAATATGGAAAATATGAGAGAAAATCATCAAGAAAATAAAATCAAGAAAAGTTCCTAGGACTGCACTTGTCAGATGAAAGGGCTCACAAAACACTTAATACAATGAACCAAAATACACCTTAGGAAAGACATCAACAGGATATTTATTAACACTGGTGATAAAGAAAAGACTAAGCCACTCTGAAAAACAGTATGGAGGCTCCTCAAGATGTTAAAAACAGAGCTACCCTATGACCCAGCAACTGCACTACTAGGTCTTTACCCCAAAGATACAGATGTAGTGAAAAGAAGGGGCACATGCACCCCAATGTTCATAGCAGCAATGTCCACAAGAGCCAAACTGTGGAAGGAGCTGAGCTGCCCTTCGACAGAGGAATGGATAAAGAAGATGTGGTCCATATACACAATGGAATATTACTCAGCCATCAGAAAGGATGAATACCCACCATTTGCACCAACATGGATGGAACTAGAGGGGATTATGCTGAGTGAAGTAAGTCAAGCAGAGAGAGACAATTATCATATGGTTTCACTCATATGTGGAACATATGGAATAGCATGGAAGACCACAGGGGAAGGGAGGGAAATCTGAAGGGGGAGAAATCAGAGAGGGAGACAAACCATGAGAGACCATGGATCCCGGGAAACAAACTGAGGGTTTCCAGGGGAAGGGGCGTGGGGGCATGGGGTAACAGGGTGATGTAAGGAGGACACGTGTTGTGATGAGCACTGGGTGTTATACACAACTAATGAATCACTGAACACTACACCAAAAACTAATGATGTATTATACGGTGCCTAACTGAACATAATAAAAAATTTTTTAATGTAAAAAAAAAAAAAAAAGAGAGAGAAAGAGAGAAAGAAAAAAGACTCCACAGGCTGCTAGGGAGGAAAAACCTGGCCACATACAAAGGATCAGGAATTAGACTAGCTTGGACTTCTCAACAGCAACATTGGAACATAAAGGACAATGGAGCAAGATCTTCCAAATAAGGAAGGAAAATTATTTACAACCTAGAGTTCTATACAAAGAATAAAGACATTTTCCAACATATATCATCTCAAAGAATCTACTGCTTACCCACCCTATCTCCAAAAGCTATTAACTATAGGATACTCTCCCCCAACTGACAGAACAAGAAAGAACAATGATTCTTGAAAGTGTGATCCTGGCCCAGCAGCCGCGGCATCTCCTGAAAATTTGTTGGGAATGCAAACTCTCACCCCCATCCTAGACTTACTAAGCAGAAACCGCAGGGGCCCAGGAATTTGTGTTTTAATGAGCTTCCCAGGTGATAAGACCACACGTTAAACTCCAAGAATGGCTCAGCTAGAACTCACTAAACAACCCGTCCAATTTCCTGGCTGAAAGGGCCAATCTCTCCAGTGTCATGGTGACACGGCACCCACTATGCTCGAGTTTTCCTGCTCTGCAGATTCTCTCACATCTTACGATAGCTCCAGCTCATTCCTTGCTTAAAATAAACCATGGCAATTAAAAATAATGACTAGGGGGAAAAATGACATGTCTTCGATGGCTATAGAGATCAGAGGATTGTGACAAAAATCACAAAACCTAAGACATCTTTCATTAGAGAACACGTTGCTTTTTATATATACAACCAAGAAAGGCAAGAAGCCTATTAAACTGTAACAGGCCATTGACTACTAGATATGCTTTCATTTCCCAGAATCCTAAAATGGGGGGACAATGCATCTCAGATTCAATGAAATAAGACAGTTTTAGAAAGGTTCCATATTGAATTTACTCTTTGAATTTGAGGTTGTAAAATCACGGACAATCTATTTTTCAGCCGCTTCATGCCTGATAAGTTGGTTTCAGATGCCATAAAAAATAATCAGAAATAAAAGTAAAAGGAAATAAATCAAAAATTTGAGAGACTACTTTTCAAACTTAACTCACACGGGAGCAACAAGACTACATTCGGAAAATAAACTAGCAACTCAGAATTCTCGAATGCTACTGCCCATACACAGGGGAGCCTAACGTGTGCTTAGTGTCTGTGGGGGGCTGCTTCATCAGTGACCCTAAGGTGTGCTGCTCTTCCACCCAGCGCACACCCTATGAAGCCAAAATAGGGAGGTGAAGTATTTAAATCATTCTGGATAACACTGATGGAGATAATGAAATGCAGTGTCTTATATATGTCATGTTCTAGATCTCACTCTGCCTCTGTCCAGCGAAGCCTGGAGTTGGTAACAGGTAAGGGGGTGAACAGTGGGGAGGGAAACCACCACATACTGGCTACTCTGTGCTGGGCACTGGGTTAAGTACATCCCACGGGTGACCAAACACAGTCAACCCCACAACCTCATGAGGCAGGTGATGGCTCCTTCTCCAAGGTGGGACGTGCTCTGAGACCCAGTAACTTACTCAAGGTTGTCTGGCTCATGGGCCATAGGGCAGAGGTTTGAAACCAGTTAACCTCACTCCGAATCCCACACTTTTCCCACTGCATCATCAGACCTATCTGGTCCAAAGCTATATACAGATATAGTGTTAACATATTTTAGGTGAGGCCCAGGTGAACAACAATCGAATCGGCTTACTTGCCTTGTCCATTCTAAGTCACACTGAGCTTGCAGGACTCATGGTTAAGCAGTGGAGTGAGGGAAAGAGTTGGGATTTGGGGAAAAGGAAGAAGGACAGGAAAGAGCTCCAGAGTTGAATCAAGCAGTTCTAATCTGTTTAGGACTCTCTTAGAAATGAAAAGCGGGCCAATGTCTTAGGTGAGTAGCAGACCTCACCAGCTAGCAGAAGGCTGACATACAGTCACTAGGCTGAAAATACCATATAAAGTAAAGCCTCCCCCTACTGCTAAGATCATCCCCTCAAAATGAAGGCTCTGGCTGGGCTCTGGTCCATCTCTCACAGACCTGGCTGTGGCTGTGACAATCCAGGAGGTCGTTGCCAATGTAAGCTTCCAGAACAGTCTCCCTCTGCTCTCCAGGATGGGACGTGGTCAAGCGCTAGAATTAAGAAAAAGAAAAGTAAGAGACCCAAGTTTTAATATGAAGAAATATGTTCATAGAGTAGGAATCTTTTAAATGGCAGTAGTAACTACATTTAACCAAAGCAAATAATACCCGGGCAGGGGTGGGGGGGGGGGCGAGTAGCTACCCAGGCAGCCATTCAACTAACAGGGAGTTATGATGTTATATTTCCTAGTGGGTGATGTGCGAGAGAAGGGAAATGATAAAATGCCTAGAGCGGAGTGCCTGGGTGGCTCAGTGGATTAAAGCCTCTGCCTTCGGCTTGGGTCATGATTCCAGGATCCTGTGATCAAGCCCCACATCAGGCTCTCTGCTCAGCAGGGAGCCTGCCTCTCCCTCCCTCTGCCTGCCTCTCTGCCTACTTGTGATCTCTGTCAAATAAATAAATAAAATCTTAAAAAAAAAATGCCCAGACAGTACATGTACAGATAAGGGAGAGCCCACCAACACCTAGAGAGTTTTCCTCACTAGAAGGGGCTCTACAATTGGTCTCTGAAGGACAAGCAAACTATCAGCCAGCACGGGGGAATGAGTATGGTGGGTAGTGGGGGGAGGGCGGGGGAGGAAGTGGGGTACTGATTGAGGAGGCGTGAAAATGCAGGGGGTATGTTGGGGGAGCCCACTGGGGGCTAGGCACAGGGCAGGCTGAGGAGGGCTTGGAGCCAATGCATCACCAACAAGTTAGACTTTATACTATAGGGACTGATGCAGCAATACTGTGTGTGTTTGGGTGTGAGAGTGTATATGTGTGAGTGAGTGTGTGTGTGTGTGTGTGTGTGTGTGTGTGTGTGTATAAGGGGTAAGTGGGTAGAATTTTGTAGATTTTTAAAGTCATAAGTTTCTTGCGTTGTGTTAAGAATAAACTCATTGTCCATAGGGCTAGAAAAAAATATTGTATGGAGAGTGTGTGAAATGTGTGTGTGTGTGTACATATGAGTGTGTACAGGTATGAATTATATGGGAAAGTCACATATAAAGTGAGATGCCCTTGCTTTCCCAGGAAAATTCCACTGGAGACCCCTGAGACCGTGAGCCCTGCCACTGGCCAAGGAGGAGCTGGACGTGTAAAGAGCCACATGGTGAGAAGACAAGAGCAGGAGACCCCCCCCGCCAGAACTGACAGGCGAAGGCCTCCAGAGGCAGGTGTCACTGGCAGACTGGATCTACTGTGGTCAAACAGGAAGGCCCTGAGGGCAGAGGGCACTTAAATGAGGGTGTGCCAAGAGTGTCACAGGTGGGGGCTGCCGCCCTTCCACCAAGTTCCCTGAAGCCAGGGCCAGGGTGCTGGAATGGGGTGGAGGGGTGACAAGCTGGAGGGGGACACAGACAAGATCTTAAGACACTTGTTTATTCGTCCTGGTTAATCTGTGACAATGTCATTCATTCGGCAAAGGAATAGCCTGCCTCCCTAAGAGGCTCGGTAGCACGGACTGAGAGGAGGAGCTGCTGGGTGGACAAACTAGGAGCCAGAGAATGAGTCTGCTAACTTGAGCGGGCAGAGGCAATGGCCCCTGCAACTCCTCACGGTGGGCACCCGCGCTTGCCAACTGAGGCAGACATTACCCATTGGTCACAGCACTCCGTCTGCTGATTCTGGATGCATTCTCAGAGCGCTCCCTGAGATCATGTTCCAGGAAGCATGACCAATCTTCCAAAGTGCAAGTGAGGAGACCTTTGTCTACAGAGATGGGGAAATTACTCAAAGCCACTTTGATGCCAATACCCTGAAATTCAGGGAGCCATGAAGGGGTCTGACACTATTACAGCCTAAGTTAGAATGGATTATTCAGTTAAAGGGCCAACCAGTGTTGGCCTAGACATGCAGTTCTCAAGGGTACTTTGGGGAATCCTAGGGGTCTCCAAAGACCTTCCAAGGAGTCTACAAGATCATGATTATTTTCATAATAATACTAAGTTATGATCTCTCTTTTTTTAAGATTTTTCTTTCTTTTTAAGATTTTATTTATTTGAGAGAGAGAAAGAGAAGGTGCACAAGCAGGTGGAGGGGCAGAGGGAGAGGGAGAAACAGACCCCCTGCTGAGCAGGGAGCCTGAGGCGGGACTCGATCCCAGGACCTTGGGATAATGACCTAAGCTGAAGGCAGATGCTTAACTGACTGAGCCACCCGGGCACCCCTAAAAATTTTATTTTTTTTAAGTAATCTCTACACCTGGTGTGGGGCTCAAACTCACAAACCTGAGATCAAGAGTCGCCCGCTCTACTGACTGATTCAGCCAGGAGACCCCGTTTTATCTTTGTCATGGTCCATCTCTCAGAGGCTATATGAAGTATGACACTGTGATGACTCACTTGGGGAGGCAGATGTGAGAATCCAGCTGTCCTTCCATTAGGCCAGACAGTAAAGAAATTTGCCAAAATGTATAACAATGCCACTTTCCTGATTTTTTTTTTTTGTTTGTTTGGAAAAGAGTTATTTTTTATGTATAAAAAATACATTATTGGGGCACCTGGGTGGCTCAGTCTGTTAGGTGTCTGCCTCTGGCTCGGGTCATGATCCCAGGGTTATAGGATCGAGCCCCACATCAGCTCCCTGCTTGTCGGGAAGCCTGCTTCTCCCTCTCCCCCTGCTGCTCCCCCTGCTTGTGTTCCCTCTCTTGCTCTCTCTGTCAAATAAAATAATAAAATCTTTAAAAAAATACATTATTTATGTTATGTTCTGGGTTCATAGCTGTTCATCTTAAATGAATTAATATTTAGAAAGGTTCTCGGTTTTTAATTTCTAATACTATAAATAGTGGTAGATAGAATTCACATAAACTAAAGCCTTTAGGGTCCTCGGTAATTTCCAAGAGTGTCAACAGGTCTGAGACTAAAAACCTTGAGAACCACTGGCTTACCCTCAAGAGTGGGAGGAAAAGCAACTATCAGACAAGGCTTGACATCTCTTAAGACTGGTTCATCAGGGTCCACCCCCACTGTCTGCTTGAGTGGCTCCACATAGCACCCGAATGCAGAAGTCTTTGCAAAGCTGTCATAAGAGAGTGACTCGGGGCACTCCCGCGCCGACCCCACTGGCTGGGAGGGTGGCTTACAACGGGTGATGGGGGCAGGCTTGAAATGGCACATGGCAAACAAGTGAGGGAAGGCAAAGGCAACTGTGAGGTCCACACCCGGGTTTTTACCAAGAGGCCAAGGCTGTCCTCAGAAGCTGTTTTTACCTTTAGCTCTTGGTGTCAGCAGGCAGCACGAGGAAAGATTTGTAGTAGATGGGGTACAAGATACAAGCAAGGTAGCCAGCCAAGAAGACCATGTCTTAACTTCCAGGGAAAGGTACGTACCCAGCGAAGAGCCTGCAACAGGAAGGCTTTCAAGCGGTCACTCCCCAAAATCAAATCCTTCTTCAGTTTCTCATAATCCAAGGAGGGCAGTAACGGGACATCCTTCAGTTTCCTACTCAGCCACACAAGTTCAAAGAGAGAAAAAAGGGCAAAGGGCACATTCATTAGACTTCCTGAGTCTCCAGACACCAGCGGTGGCCTGGCTGTCTTCTCCACTCCTGGAATGAAGTCCAGGACCGCCGCCCCCCGCCCCCACCCCGTGTCATCGAGCTCTGCTCTGCCTTTCCCGTGGAGGTACTGGGGCTTTGTTGCATGTCTTTCCCCACACAAGGAGTCCCTGCCTGGCCAGGTTTAGAAACTGCTGTGCTCACACAAGGCCAGGGCTCCATCCGACAGGGATGGAATCACCTTGAAGGCACCAGACCTTGCAGTACCGCTACAGGCCTATTTAGCATCCGGAGCAAAGCCGGAGACCAACAGCAGCACCCATGAGAATGCTCCCTGAAATCCTGAAGCTGCTGCCCGCTCAGGCCCGAGGCACCGAACTGGGGGGACGCAAAGGACAGACCAGGGTGAGGAAACAACTGTGAAGAGTGGGAGCACAGTCAACCCCAAGGAGGTAAAGGGCATGTCAGGAAATAGCACAGGTTCTTATCTGGGAGAGAGGAGCAAGTAGGGCCGTTTGCAAATCCTCCTCAAGAGGACCCAAGTGGAGCCCTCAGGGGAAGGCAGGTCTCCCCAGTGTCTTCAGTTTGTTTTGCTCCACAGTGGGGGCTGGAGCGCACAGGAGAACCAGTGTAAGGGAGCGAGGCCTGCAATCTGGCTAACAGCACTGTACCCATGTTAACGTCCTGCCTTTGATGTTGTACTTGGCACAGAAGATGTCACCACGGAGTTGGGGGGCCTGGGGGGTCAACTTCCTGTGACTCTATTATAATCATTTCAGCATAAAACAAGTCAAAAACAAAAGTAAAACAACAGTATGGTCTTCCTGACACTGTGCAGAGAATATTAAGATCAGTACTCTGGGCACAATACTAAATGCGGGCTCATGAGGACTTGGGTGAAAAGAGGCACACAAAGGCTTCTTGGGGCGCCTGGCTGGCTCAGTCGGTAGAGTGCGCAACTCTTGGTCTTGGGGTTGTGAGTCTGAGCCTCACGTTGGGGGTAGAGATTACTTAAAAAATAAAATCTTAAAAAAAAAAAAAAAAAAGATGAGGGGTTCTTCTGCTTCCCATTGACGCGTAACCAAGCTACATGATGTTAGCTGCGGGTGTCCGGCATCGTGATTCGCCATCTGTGTACAGATGGTTAAGTGGTCACCACAGTGAGTCTCTTTACCCTCTGTCACCACACAAAGTTCCCACGTTTCCTTTCTTGGGATGAGAATTTTTGAGATTTACTTTCTCAGCAACTTTTAAATTTGCAATACAGTATTACTGACTACAGTTCTCACGCAGTCCACTGCCTCCCAGGAGGCAAACTTCTAAGTGGAAGTCTGCACCTCTTGGTCTCCTTCACTAGTTTTAAAGGGTGGAACAGAGATAAGGGTGGGTGGAAGGTGGAAAGGAGGTAAGACCCTGGGGGGGCGCAGCATTTAGGGTACTGTAAATTTTCTTCATATGTGCCTGTAGCATTCAATTTTTCTGTAATGAGCATGTATTGCATTATAAAAAAAATTACATGCTAGTTTTCTTAATGTTAGTTTTTAAAAGACAAAATGCGATCCTCTCACAGGGCCCCGGAGAAAAAGGCCAGAGAAGAGGGCAACAAATGAGATCTCGGCGAACACTCCTGGGAGGAGGTTCTAGTCTGCACATCACACAGCGGAGCCCTGCGCACGTGCACACTGATCATTCTGGCACCTCTTTTCCTGAGGCCAATACGGCTGTGTTTAAAAATGAACACAGATACTTTAGAAATCCCCATTACAAATAACTGGTCAGTATTCTTTGAAAGTGTCAAGGCCATGAACAGGATAGAAGAATGACTTCAAATGAAAGGAAACAGACATGACAACCATGTCAACATGTGATCCTGGACTGAACGCTGGACCAGACAAGGGCAGAATGGAGCAGCTGCTAACATGTGAGGAAGGCCTGCAGATGAGATGATGCGGCATCAGCATTAATTTTCTGACTCTGACAACTGTACTGAGCTTACACAAAATATCAACATGGGGAATCTGGGCGAAGGGCACAAGGGAATTATCTGTACAGTATTTGTAGCTCTGAAATTATTTCAACATGAAAAAAAGATTTTTTAAATTTAAAATTTAAACAAAGTCTTCTTCTAGACAAAAAGTTCCACGTGTAAAGCCAAGTCCAAAATTGTTCTATAGCTGGGCGCTTTTTCTGGAGGGAAGAGACGTTGTCAAATGCGGGCTATAGTTACTTGTCCATACTGTTGATACTGGCCACTAAATATATCGCCAACTAAGCTGCTCAGCCGCCCCACATTTCTGTGGTCTAGCCACTCTCCTGCCATCCAAGAAGACTGTGGCATACCTTCTCCTTTGCCCTCCTTAGCCCCTCCACCAACAACCCCCTTTACTCTCTGCAGGTGACCTTGTCTCTTACACCCCAGGGGACAACATTAGCAAATGGGAGAGTTTATTAAGTCCCAGCATTGTACTAAGTGCTTTATACACAGGAACTCATTTTTATCCTCACAATAATCCTATGAAAAAGTTATTATTATTATTATCTCTTCTCAAGTAAAGAAACTGAGACACAGAGAAGTTACAGAAGAGGTCCAAGGTCACAGAGCCAGCGGCAGAGGTGGGATTTTAACCACGGCTGTCTGTCTCATCAGCACTACGTTATAGAGCCGCTGCCGTCTGCAGAGAACAAAGTGCAGGGTCAGTGTCAGACTCACGCAGGCCTGAGAGAGGAGGCAAGCTGTATCTCTCTCAGTGGTCGGAGTGATCTGACAGCATCCTCTGAAACCCCCAACAAGGTGGGGGCGGTGCTCAGAGGGTCACCAGAACCCATCCTAGTCCTTAAGCCTCTGTCAAAGGTTCTCAACTTCCTTGTTACCACAACATACACGCCGGATGAAATTCCTGAACACCAGACACCCACAAGGTGACAACCTAATCGATATGGATAGCAATGCTCAGGCATCCACAAAGCTATCCTGTGGCCCTGGTCACAAGTGAGTCAGCAGAGAACACAAAATTTAGACACTGCAGCCTTCTGATGACTGCCCTACGACAGAAGATTAATCTCTACAGAATATCATAGGAACAATTGAACAATTTTTTCCCATTTGATGCGAGCTCTCCAAAATAAAGAGAATTAATACTAGGAGGTACTTTAAGTTTAACAGTATTATTTATAATTACTGGTATTTCCTTTATATCCTCATGGAGCTCTAGCTAATCAAAGGCACTCCTCTAGGCTAGACTCTTAAGATGAATGTCCATGAAAGTTACTTTGAGTCTAGTTTTACCTAGAGCTGTGATCCATCCTAACAACTCCTAAAAGCAATTACTTACCCAGGTGCCAAGGAGGCTCTCAACATGGTTGAAGCCTGAGGATGGGGGGCGGAAACAGAAGAAGAGAGACCGTGTTAAACAGTGAGAGCAATGCATTAATCCTAAATCATTGTACTCGCACAAAATCAACAGATTTGCAAAGGTTTTGATCCATCGGGATTCTCCTATCATAATCATATATGATTTAAAAATTAGTCCAAACAGGTGCGCCTGTGTGGCTCAGTTGGCTAAGCATCCGACTCCTGATTTCAGCTCAGGTCATGATCTCTGGGTCATGAGATGAGCTCTGCATCAGGCTCTGCGTGGAGTCTGCTTGTCCCTCCCCGCCGTTCCACCCCCCCGCCCCCCATGCTCACACACACACACTCGATAGCGCACTCTCTCTCTAAAACAAATAAAGAAAATTTAAAATATACAATATAAAATACAAATAAAAATAGAAATAAATAAGATAAAAATTAGCCCAAACTGAAGTTAAGCAACACACTAGTCAAGTAGTTCCCAAGACGCCCACCACCCTTGGTTTGTTGTTACTCTGCTCCAAGGAATGCTCCATAAAATAACAAGTGGGTCCTCCCTAGCCAAACTCCCAGAGGCACTTAAAGCTGCCTGGTCAGATGTCACAGAAAACAAAAGCAACGGAGATCACCTTATTATGCTGACTTTTTTCTTTATTAAGATTTTCTCTTTGAGTATAACAATAACATACACTTTGTACCAAGTCAAACCCTATAGAGGTGTTTACAGAAAAATCCTCCCTCCCTCCCTACTCCGTTTTAACCCTATTTATAGGCCAATCCACTGCCCACTTTATGGATATTCAGTGTCCGACTTATTGTTTTGTTTTTGCCACTACAAACAATGCCGTATTAAACGTGTACTAAAACAGACTCGAGAAACAAAAAACAAATGCTGTGTGTGGTGCTTGGTTGGACCAACTCCAGCCAGCTATAAAAGATGTTTTGAGGGGTGCCTGGGGGCTCAGTGGATTAAAGCCTCTGCCTTCAGCTCAGGTCACGGTCTCAGGGTCCTGGGATCAAGCCCCGCATTGGGCTCTCTGCTCGGTGGGGAGCCTGCTTCCCCCTCTCTCTGCCTGCCTCTCTGCCTACTTGTGATCTCTCTCTCTGTCAAATAAATACATAAAATCTTTTAAAAAAAAAAAAAAGATGTTTTAAGACAATAAGGGAAATCTAAATAGGGACTGCACAGGGCAGTATGATACTGAGGAATACAGTGCTAACTGTATTTGGCATTGCAGTTGTGTTTGCTTTTAGTTTTGTAAAGGCCTTATCTGTTAGATAAATACATTGAATGATTTATAGAATGTTTGGGATACGTTCTAAGGAATTCCAGGGAAAAAAAGTGAGGAAAAGAGAAGAGAAGAGATCTTGGGTCTCTGTGGAGCCCTTCCAAAAGTGGGGGTAGTGGGTCTCTGTCCACTCTGTGTCACCACAGCTCTGGAATGGTCATTACCCACGCTTACCGCATTGAACCGTGATTATTTTCAATGATTTCTCTGCTTTCTCCTTTAGCAGACACTGAGTTCCACAATGAGTAGAGACACATTACTCTCTATATATGTACCTAGCACCTGGTACAGTGCCAGGCATACAGAGGCACATGATCAACATTTGTTGAATGAATGAATGAAGACTGACTTCCCAAGATGGGCCCTCCAGAATCCTTGACCGATTTAACAAACTGGCCTGAGGTGATGACTCCATTCCCTACTGCCTCTGTCTACAGGATTTACAGGCCACACAGATTCCCACCTTGGAGACAGCAAATCTCACTTTTAAATGGCTCATGACCAAGTATGTTTTTATATTTTTTAATCTTTGACTTTTTAGAAAAGATTTTATTTATTCATTTGGCAGAGAGAGAGAGAGATAGCAAGAGAGGGAACATAAGCAGGGGGAGTGGGAGAGGGAGAAGCAGGCTTCTTGCTGAGCAGGGAGCCCGATGCGGGCTTGATCCCAGGACCCTGGGATAATGACCTGAGCTGAAGGCAGAGGTTTAATGATTGAGCCACCCAGGTTCCCCCAGCCCTTGATTTTTTTTTTTAATTAAAGGAAATGCCTGTTCCTATTATTGACTTAAATAGCAAGGAGTTGAGAAAATAAATTTGAACTACACCTAAATTACTCATCTAACACATTCAGAAGACCAAGAAGCCAAGATAATAAGATAAATGAGTCAAATAAGGGCAGAGGCATATTAAAATATTAGCCAAATATAAAGACAAAATAAAAAACACTCTTAGGGGTACCTGGGTGCCTCAGTTGGTTAAGAGTCTGCCTTTGGTTCAGGTCATGATCCTAGGGTCCTGGGATTGAGTCCCGTATCAGGCTGCCTGCTCAGTGGGGAGCCTTCTTCTCCCTCTGCCTCTGCCTGCCCCTCCCCCTGCTTGTGCTCGCTCTCTCCGTCAAATAAATAAATAAAATCTTTAAAAATATATATTTCTAAATTAGCGTTATTGGCTAGTTCATATATCCACAAATAAAATATATCACATACTTAAGAAAATGTTTCCTATCATTTATTTATTTATAAAAGAGCTTATTTATTTTTTTAATAGTATATCTTTTTAAAAAAAGATTTGGGGGCACCTGGGTGGCTCAGTGGGTTAAGCCTCTGCCTTCGGCTCAGGTCACAATCTCAGGGTCCTGGGATCGAGCCCCGCATCGGGCTCTCTGCTCAGCAGGGTGCCTGCTTTGCTTCTCTCTCTCTGCCTGCCTCTCTGTCTACTTGTGATTTTTCTCTCTGCCAAATAAAGAAATAAAATCTTAAAAAAATAAATAAAATTAAATTAAAATTAAAAAAGATTTGTTTAGGGGGCATCTGGGTGGCTCAGTCGGTTAAGCATCTGCCTTTGGCTCAGGTCATGATCCCAGGGTCCTGGGATCAAGTCCCACATCGGGCTCCTTGCTCAGTGAGAAGCCGGGGGCTTCTCCCTCTCACTCTGCTGCTCCCCCTGCTTGTGCTCTTGTGTGCTCTCTCTCAAGTAAAATCTTTAAAATGAAGATTTATTTATTTTAGAAAGAGTGTGTATGTGTGTGAGAGAGCATTGCGGGGGGCAGAGGGAGAGAGAGAGAATCTTAAGCTCCATGCCTAGTGCAGAGCCCCATGAGGGGCTCGATCCCATGACCCTGAGACCATCACCTGAGCCGGAATCAAGAGTCAGATGCTTAACTGACTGAGCCACCCAGGCGCCCCTAAAAGATTTTATGTTTAAGTAATCTCTATACGCAACATGGGGCTCAAACTTCTAACCTGAGACCAAAAGTCCCACACTCCACCAACTGAGCCCGCCAGGTGGCCCGTTCTTTTAAAACACTACCTCTGTTTTGCTAAACTCATTGTCATTCTATTTGTTCTGTGAAGAAATTAATTGAAAAGCACTAACAACTACACTTTCATGAGAAGAAGCAGTATGTTAGACACTACTGAGCTTTTATTATCCAGTCAAGTAAAATAACAAAACAAAATGAAACAAAACAAAACCCCAGAGCTGAGCTGTGGGAGGAATGGGCTGGCACGATCTTCCTGAGAGAGAGGCATGTGCTCCTCCCTTCAGCCTGTATTTCCTGATTGCCTCCCATCTGCCAGGTCTCTGCAGGGCACGGTGGTACCAGAGTGACCAGAGCAAAGCCCCCTTCTCAGAGAGCTTACAGGCCAGTAGGGAGAATCAGTGGTCAGAGAACTCTCTGTGCCGCGTCAGCAAATGGTGGCAATAACAGTACCAGCGGTATACCAGCGGTACCAGGGCCCTGCAGGCCAGGGACTGAGCCTGGCCCTCAGCCGTCACTGCTCCCCGAAGCCAGCGGTCGTTGTGGGGGGACAAGGACGGATGGGGGCACAGGAGCAGGCCAACAGCGAGCTGAGGGGCTCTGCCCATGCTCTCTGATGTCAGAAAGTGTTTGCAGAGCTTGGTCTCAGGTGTACCATGACACAGTGTCCCTTGGTCAGAGCGTCTGCACATGTACGGGGGTGGGGAGGGATCTCCGGAAGAAACTTCAGCATGCCACTGACTGTTGTGCATCTTGGAGCATGCCACGTCCCCTACTTCATACGACAGCGGCTGGCTCTGGGGACGGGAGAACCCGCCAGGATCAGGGTCTGTAGGTATGGGCTGCACAGAACAGTCGCAGGTGTGGGCAGCCCCGGAGGGTCAGAGAGAAGGAGCCGTGGCTTGATGCTAGCAGCAGCGCCCGAGCCCCGATGCTGTGGCAGGCACTGTCTGGGGCCTGAAGCCTAAGCCCAGGCCCACCTGTCACCAGCCTCCCCCCTGGCCTCAGGAAGTAAGCTGGACCACTGTGGCTGCCTGTGCTGTGTAGGAGAGCAGGGGAACAGGGAGGTTCCCAGGACAGAGCTCCAGGACAGGACAGAGATGACCTAGAAGAGGTTAAATAGCCACAGTGGGAAGAAACACGCGTTGGCCACGGGGCAGAAGAGACCACAAAAGCCAGGGACCAGAAGCACAGCCCCACACACAGCGAAGGGATGTTGCTACCGCCAACTCTGCAACACAGAGGGCTGCTTGCAAGACATGGATGGCAGGGGTACGTGTGGGGGGCGGGGGAGGGCTGAAATGGGACAATGCTCCCATGGCATTTGGAAATGAGGCTGAGTCAGTATAGTGCCCGAGTGCCGAGTTTCCAGGTGCGCTTCCCAGGCAGGCGTCTCTCTGGCTTACCAGGTCCCCGAGGGCCCCACTGGCTTACCAGGTCCCCGAGGGCCCCACGCTGTGCTTTGCCTCTGCCCTGTAGCCTGCAGGCATCTGAGAGCCTCGGCCAAGGAGAGGTAGCAGCAACGGGCTTACTTTGGGAAGTGCTAGTGGCCGGGGTACTGAGGCCTCTTCTACTTTCTATGACCATCGCTGAGTGTGGGGATGGGAATTAGATCACAGAAGGCTGTGGACTCCCCACTGAGCACTTCAGACCTAGAGCAAAGACAGGTATTAAGCAAGACAGTAACCTGATTGATGCCTGAACGGACTGACATCCCTCCCGAAACTTGAGGACATGAATAAATA